CTTAATATAGTTGAAATAGTTTTTTACTTTGCATGCCTCTGTTTGGATCATCTGACTTCGTAAGCTGTCTTTTAATGTTTGTTGAACAAGTTGAAGGATGATTGACCATGCAGTGTTCTGTCGCTGTTTCAGATATGTTTTCTTGTCGCGCCATGACTACCTCCCACCAGTGGCAGGGAAAGGGAACGTTTGCTAACAAAAGACATGTTCTTTTCCCACGCAGGCCAAGTTAAGCCGCCTGTGCGAGCAGGATAAAGTGGTACACGCTCTGGAAGAGAAGCTGCAGCAGCTCTACAAGGAGAAAGTAGGACCATTATGTTATTATCCGCAAGTGATGTTACTTACATGATTATTATCAGGACACTAATAACTAATGTAGAAAAATTAATCCAGTGATGCAGAACATTAAGCATAATTCTTTGTATTGCAACAGTACACGCTTGAACAGGCTTTGCTGTCAGCCAGCCAAGAGATAGAAATGAACGCAGACAATCCAACAGCCATCCAGACTGTGGTGTTACAGAGAGATGACTTCCAGAACGGACTGCTCAGTACATGTCGGGAACTGTCTCGAGCTACTGCAGTGAGTAGCTTTTTCCTTCTTGGAGGGTTGACCTGTATTATAAGAAATACTAATCTGTTGCTAACATCTTTATCTAAAGCCATTAAAAATCCATTGCCACCGAGTTTCCAAGAATGTAACATTTTTGTTTCTTGTCTATTTGATATATGAATATTATGTACAACAGACACGATATGGTATTTCATTGAAGTTTACTTCTTTTTCATATAGAAGAGTAATGAAGCCCATTAAAAAGTTTAGAAGATACAAAATAATAACTATGAATTATCAAGGGTTCCTGAGGGAGGGAGGGCGGGGAGGAAAGGGAAAACTGAGGAGCCGACACCAAGGGCTCAAGAAAAAAATATATGTTTTAATCATTTTATTGGGGGCTCGTACAACTCTTATCACAATCCATACACACATCCACTGTGTCGAGCACACTTGCACATTTGCTGCCATCATCATTCTCAAAACATTTGCCCTCCACCTGAGTCCCCGGCATCAGCTCCTCATTTCCTCCCCTCCGTCCCCACTCCCCCCCTCCCTCGTGAACCCTTGATAATTTATGTTATTATTATTTTGTCATATCTTGCACTGTCCAGCGTCTCCCTTCAACCACTTTTCTGTT